TACTACTTAGCAGTAAAAAGGATAGATACATTATACAAAAGGAACTACTGATACCTGAAATAATTCATAGTTCTCACTGCCATCTAAGGGAAAAGCCTGTCACAAAGGGCTATTTATTATATAATTCACTTTATATAACATATTAGAAATGATAAAATTATAGAGATGAAAACCACATTAACAGTTGCAATGAGGCAGGGACAATAAAAATAAAAATATAGTGTGAGGTGGCAATAATAAGTGTTATGGAAAATAAAATAAAGCAACAACAACAACAAAAAAAGCAGAAGCCCTATTTGGGGACCTATTGGTCAGCCAGACTGCTCCAAAGAAAGAAAGAGAGGGAGACAAGTGGGTATCCAAGGAAGAGAGGACAGATATGATTTATATTTTTTAAAAAGGGATGGGAAAGAAAATTATGCCTATGAGTATGTAGATATAAAATATCACTGCAAGCAAATACAAGAAACTGGTACATCAGTTGTGTCCGCAATGGGTAACTGGTGGTTGGGTTGGGTGGCAGATTGGAAGGAAGCCATCCATTGAATGCAATTTTTAAGCCTTCACATTTTGATGTGACTAAAAAAATAAAAGTGAAATTGTCTTTCACACTTTAATTATGATCCGCTTGCCTCAGTCCCCTCAGCAGTTGGGATTATGGGCAAGCACCATTCTTCACTAACATTAGTTAATCTTTCCACTGTGCATTCCAGCCAATCCCCTCTTGTGTATTCCAGCATATGGTTTGTATTAGTTTGCTAGGAATGCCCTAGACAGAGAAATTTCATTTCTCACAATTTTAGAGCCTAAAAGTCCAAGATTAAGACATCAAAAGGTTTATTTTTTGTAATGCCTCTCTCCTTGCTTGGTCTTTCCTCTCTGCATACATATATGTCCTAATTTCTTTTAAGGATGCCAGTCATGTTGGATTGAAGGCCTCCCTCACAACTGCATTTAATCTTTTTCTTACATCCCTAACTTTTTTACATTTTATTGTCTTGTGGCGCTGGGGATTGAACTCAAGGATTTCACATTCTCAAAGTCTTTTTTTTTTTTAATTTTATTTAAGGAGAAAAAGAAAAAAAAAAGCAGAGAAAGGGTACAAGTTATACAGATTTACAGAAAAAAATAAACAGTAGGAAATCACTAGTTAATGGATTACATTTTGTCATCTTAGAAATGATTGTTCAAGTTACAAAATTAAAGCTTATAAAGTGGACATTCCAACAGTGAGACTGCAAACAGTTCTGTTCAATGATCCAACAAAACTCAGTAATATCATTATCTATCTTATACACTTAAATATACATGCAGTTATATCGTATAGAGCACTTTCTTTTCCTCTCTTTTGTACAATGACAATTACACATTTTGGGTTTTGTTGCTCCCACAGTTCTTACTACTTTTTTGGAAGAGAGTAGAACCAAAAGTGACATAACAGAACAGTCAGTCAAATCAAAAGGGTGGACGTAATAGATAACGTAAAAGCATAATACTAGGTGATCAACAATGGTTACCATAATGCCTCCCACAATCTCTAATAGAATTGCCTATATCATTAGTTATAATAAAATTTGAACAAAACAGTAAAGAACAAAACCAACAAAACCAAAACACTGGAGACATTATAGGTCTTCAAAAGTAGATAATAGTCAACCAGAATGGGCGTCATAATGAATCCCACTATCTTCACAGCTGTTGCCTAAACTTTCGAACCTGATACTATCAAGCAAAACAGAATAGAGGAACATCAGTCAAAACAAGATGGTGAGAGCAATACAGGGCTTTAAATCAAGATAATGGAAAGTCAAAGTGGGTTACTATAATATATCCTGCTATTTTAAATTTATTTTTCCCTTAATTAAAAGGATAAAAAAAGTAAATAATAAAGTAGAGATTGAGATAAAAGAGGGTATAACAGCAAATCAGCGCAGATCAAAACATAACCATTTAAGCAAAATAGTGTTTCACTACAAGATTATCCCGACATAAAAGTAGTTACCATATTGTCTCTTTCCTTGAAATCTTTGAGTATAACTTCGTATACTGTAGCATCAAATATATCAAAACAATGCAAAACAATTTAAGAGAATGACAGTATTACAGGGTATTTAGAATCAACTAACAGAAAATGAACAACGGTTTCTGTATAATCTCCTTGTCTATAAAAGGTTTTGCTTATACTATCACATATAATAAAATCCAATAAGATACCACCTGTTTAGACTAATGGAGACAGAAGAACAAAAGCTTGATGAGACTTCAAAACAAGATGATACTAAATCAGTATTACCTCTTAAGATGTCATTTTCTCCAATATAGCTGTTCCTATCATCCCATCTTCTCTGCCTCATTTCTGTTGAGCTCTTTTTCTGTCATTAATTGACAGTTTGTCTTCTTCATTTTGTTTCTGCTCCATTCATTGTGGCCTCTCTGCCGCTACTTCTGTATTTTTTGTATTTTTCTTTTTTAGAATATCTTGCAGTATTCTCTGTAGAGTTGAATTAGTGGTTGCATATTCCCCTAGTTCCTCTTTATCCTGGAAGCACCTTGTTTTTCCATCAATTTCCAGGGATAGTTGTGCAGGATATATCAATCTTGGCTGGAGATTATTATCTTTGAAAGCTTGAATTATTTCCCCCCCACGCTCTTCGTGATTTGATGGTTTTTGCCGAGAAGTCTGCTGTAATTCTGATGGGTGCTCCCTTGTAAGTTATCTGGTTCTTGTCTCTGAAGGCTTTTAGTATTCTGTTCTTGTATTGGATTTCTGGAATTCTAATTATTACATGCCTGGGTGTTGCTCTGTTTGGGTTGTAGGTGGCTGGAGTCCTGTATGCTTCATACAACTGAATATCTTTACCTTTTGCTAAATTAGGAAAATACTTCTGGATTATTTCTGTGAGTAGCTTTTGTAGTTCATTTGTTTGTGTCCCTACTTCTTCTTTTATGTTCTTAATTCTTAAGTTATAGACCCTCTTATCATCTTCTAGTCTTTGTATTATTGCTGTTTGTTTCTTTGTTATTTTTAAGAAGTTTTTCATTTCATGCTCCCATATTACAAATCTGCCCTCCAGTTCAGATAATCTGTCCTTAGTTTCTTTCAAGCTGTTATGCCAGTTTTCGATAGACTTTTTAGTTTCCTGGTAGTCTCTTTGAACCTGCTTCTCGTATTCTATGCTTTCTCTATTTTCTCCATTAAACAATTCTCCCCTCTTTTTTCTATTCTTCCATTCCACCATCTGTTTTTTCTTGGGTGGTGCTTAGCATTTCTCTAACTATTCTGCTTATGTCTAGCTTCAGGTCATTAATAACTTCATTCCTGAACTTGTCTATGAGGCTCTCGAGAGAGCGCTTTATGTCTATTGGTGCTGTGTCTGCTGTTGTCTCTTTCTCAAGATTGGGGGCCGAGGACCCTTTCTTGTTGCTGCCTCTTCCCATATTCTTTGTTCCTTATATATGCAAGCGTATATAGAAGGCCGGGCTTCCTTCCCTGTCAGCCACAGTCTGATTGAATTGCGCTGGCTAGGTGTTCCCACCCTCCACAGTGCACCAGGAAGTTGCAGACCAGGCAGCCTATGCGGGGCCCGCCACTCCAGGTCAATCTACCTTCAGGAGCTGGGACCTGGGCTGTGCTAGCCTACTGCGTCTCAGCCAGCAGCATCACGTGGGCTAGGCACTGCTCACCAGTCCCGCTTGAGAGGGGGATACATGACTGAAGTCACTGCAGCGCCCTGTTCCCACAAGTCTGCCCGGTCCCAGAATGTCCTCTGTTGGAGTCTCCTAGACCATGGAAGAGTCCCAGTTTTCCCTCACTCATCAGAGGTGGACACACAGCTCCCCGCCCATCCCACTCTCAACTGGATTCACTGACTCCCGTTCTCAGAGCTTCAGTGCATCTCTCTCCCTGCCAAGCTGATGCAGACGCAGCGGTGGTGGCGGGAAACCCAAATCTCAGCTTCCAATGGCACAGGCTCCAGCTTCCACGCTGAGGCTTTATCTGTTCCTGTTATAGCACCAGGATTGTATTCCCAGTTGGTTTCTCTCAGCCCAGTTTGTTCTTGGGTCACCGGGGCATATCTCCGCGTGCTTATGATTCCTTAGTCAGCACCATTCCTGAATTCTAAGCTGGGTGTTTCAGAGAGCCTCCGTAGCTGCTGCTATCTGTCCGCCATGTTCTCCTGGAAGTCTCCTCAAAGTCTTTTGTATTTTTGGTTGTTTTCAAATTTTATTTTTGTTTGTACATGTTTGTAGTACACAATGATTACATTTATTATAGGGAGATGGTACATTTACATAATAAATCTTAACTTTTTTATGCCTTCCACCCCTGCTTTTCACACTGCATTTAATTTTTAACTTGTTGAAGAACTTAATCTAGAGTCACATTCTAAGGAATTGTGGGTTAGGACTTCAATAAACTTTCCTCAGTGTCTCAATTTATTACTGTCTAGCGTAAATGTCCAAGCCTTCCTTGGGCTGAAATTTGTGAAGGGGAATTGTTTTGAGATGCATACAAAATACATAATAGAGTTAATGTATATAAATAAAATATCTTTTAAAAGTATTTTTATTATAAAATTTTTAAAAATACAGAGGGGTAGGCGTGGTAGTGCATGCCTGTCATCTCTGCACTCTGGGGACTGAGGCAGGAGGATGGCAGGTATGAGTCCAGCCTGGACAATCCAGTGACTCAGTGAGACTGTGCCTCAAAACAAAAAATAAAAAGGGTAGAGGGTGTAGTTCACTGCAAAGCCCTGGATTCAATTCTTACTACCAAAAGCAAATAAATATAGAAGATGGAAGTGCCTTGTGGGCTGCAGGCTGGACACACTTGAATGGGGTCACTTCTATCAATATAAAACATGCTTTTCTTCCTCCTATCTTATAAAAAATCCTGAGCCCTCTTCCTTTTTCAACAGCTATCCTATTTTCTGGGTCTCCTTTACAGTCTGAATTCTTCAGAGTTGCCTATAGTCATTGTCTCAAATTGCTGTTTCCCATTCTGTTGGTGTCTGCCTGTCTGTCTGTCTCTGTCTGTCTCTGTCTCTGTCTCTCTCACTGAGGAGCAGTTTATATGTCTCACATTCCCATTATCTCTTAAACTTACTCCCACATAACTTTGCCCATTCTCTCCACTGCTATTGATTGTATCAGCAATGAACTCTATGTTGAAAATTACAGTGACAAACACTCAGTCTTTATCTCACTTGTCCTGTTAGTAGCATCATTGACATTCAACAGGTGATTGAAAGATACAATGAATGTTTAAATTTTAACAACTTATTAAGTTAAGAGACACACTGCCAAAAATAATTAGATAAGTGTGTTCAAAGTGATGGGGAGTATTTTGCACACTTGTAAGTAAGTTAGGGCCAATGTGGTTTTGACTATAACAAATTTTAAAATTTTAAACATTCACTCACTATATTATAATCATTCCCTCATTGATCAACCACTTATGATAATTGCTGTCAAATAAAAAATTACAGTGTGTCATTCACCTTATTCACTGGAACTGGTACCATGTTATTTGAGCTCTTCCCCAAAGTCAAATTGACTACAAATGGTAAATGTTAAAATTTTTTTATATTTCACAGTACATGCTTTGCAGTACACAATGATTACATTCATCATATTAACACATCTCAATTATTTTGACATCTCTTTTTCCACCCCCCCTTCCCTCTTCCATCTCTTGTTCCCCTATCTCTTTGTTTCCTATCATCTTTTATTTTGCTCTTTAATTTATATATACTTTGAGTTTCTCATATAAGAGATACTATGCAATATTTAAGCTTGTGTGTCTTATTTATTTTACTTAATATTATAGTCTCAAGGGGCATCTATTTCCCTACAAATGACTCAAGTTTATCTTTATGGCATAGTACTCCATCATGTAAAAATACCACATTTTCTTTATCAATTTATCGGTTGATGGGCCTTAAGCCTATTTCAAAGATTTAGGTATTCTAAATTGTGCTTCTATGAAAATGAGTATACATGTACCATTATAATATGACATCTTTAACTCTTTCAGGAAGATTCCTGGAAGGGGAATAACTAGGTTTAATGGAACTTCTGTTTTTAGTGTTTTGAGGACTCTCCATACTGATTTTCATAGTGACTGTATCAGTTTACATTCCCATGAACAACGTAAAAGGGTTCCTTCCCCCCGCCCCGAAGCCTCATCAGTCTTTTTATATTTGACTTCTTGATGATAGCTTCTTTTTCTAGAATAAGACAGAACTCCATGTTGTTTTAGTTTTCATTTCTCTAATGGCCAGAGACATTGATCATTTTTTCCTGTAGTTATTGGCCATTTATACTTCTTCTAACTAGTCATTTATACTACTAATTCTTCCTCTTTCATTTTAGTTGATCATTTCTTAATCGGGTCTTTTATTTTGAGATACCATTTTTTGTTAATTTTTTATATATTGTAGATATCAGTTCACTGACCAAGGAGTAGCTGGCCACTTTCTTCCCATTCTATTGGTTATCTCTTTCTCTGTTTCCTTTATTGCACAGAGCCTTTAATTTGATATAATCCCATTTGTTCATTCTTCATATTATTTCTTGTACAAGTCATCTTTGACAGACTTTTCCCCCTTCTGTCTCACTTCTAATTTACATTCGATCCTTAGGGAATAACCTTCATGTAACAAGAATCTAATTTCACTGCCTTTATCACAAACTGGTCCATGCTTCCACCACATGTCACCCATGTTATTCAAAAACTCTCTGCTTTTGCTCTCATTCTCCTCTTCAGGGTCTTTTTAAACGAGCACACAATATGATCTTTTAAAAGCAAGATCCAATCATGTCATTCTTCCGCTAAAAATACTTCAATGACTCTGTATTTCACTCAGAGTTCAAACCACAGTCTTTAAAAGGCCCCATAGATTCATAGCTGCTGCTGCCCACTGCCATCTTGCTCATTCTGTTCCTTAAACATTCCAGACTCACTCCTACCTCAGCGAAGCTTTGCTTTAACTGTTCTCTCTCCCTGCTAAGCTTCCCTCCCTCCAACCCACACATCTAAACTCCCTCAACTTGTTTGCAAATCTTGTCTTCTCAATGAGTCCTTTCCTGACATCTCCACTTAATTCTGTGCACATGTGTGCATGCACACACATGCTCTCTGACTTCCTAAACTGCTGTATGATTCTTTATTCCCATTGTCTCATCAGCTCCTTGAAGCTATCCTATAATTTTTTTGCATATCTCCACTCACCTATCTATCCATGTACTATGATTACTGGTATTGAATGCGTCCACCAGCTAAACTGTCAGCTCTATAGGTAAGAATCATTGCCTGAGTTGTTCACTGCTATATCCAGGCATTTTAAGTGAATACAAGTACCATTACAATTGGTTCTGTCATTTCAACCACTGCTATTAATGTTAGAAATACACAAAAAGTAAACAATTTTCATCAATTTTCCAATCACCAATTTCATCCCTAGAGATTACACTATTTCTGTAATCTTTTTTCCACATGACATCACAAAATTTCAGAAAGCATGAAGTTGAAATAGAAAAGAGAAAATTATCATCATATTCCTCCTCCTTTGTGCCCACCAAAAACACAATTCATAACCCTTTTTCTCACTATATATCCTCTAATGAGTGTTAATCTACATTTGACTATGTTCCTCAATTTAAAAAAATAAATATGCATTAGTAAAAAGTATATGAATATTTGTAAACATTGGAGAAGGCAATGAATTGAATCTCAGTCTAATTCAGTAGACATAAAAAATACAAAGAAAAAACCAGTTCAAAAGTATAAGAAATATCAATAAATCATAGAACAAGTTAAAAGGAAACCAGAATGGCTATCAGGTAGCTGAGCAAGAAAATAATAATAGCAGTACTCTAATATTTGTTGTTTTAATATACAGAACACTTAGCTTTCATTTCTATAGTGCTTCAGAACTCAGGAATGAAATTATCAATACTTGCAACCTACATGAGTTTGCGCAAGTTATCTAACTAGCTCAGCTTTCTCATCTGATCAATATAAGATAATAGTAACTACTTTTGAGAGCTTCTATGGAGAACAAACACATTGAAAAAATGATTGATATAGAAATATATAACAAATATGATCTACTGATCATTTACTACTTTTAAAAATATTAAAATGCCTAGTAATGGTCCTGCAGAATCAGAAATGCCATCATATATAAAATGTCATCATATATATAAATAAATTATACAAGTAAATAAATAAATGTGCATATATGTATCTGTACAGTGAGAAACAAATGGTTTCTTAATCTGATTAGTTAGCCACTTAAACTGTTCTGTTCTGACCTATTTTGTTATGTCCTCTTTTATCTTAATCTTTTTTTAAAATAAAAAAAAATCTGATTAATTAGCCAAAATATCCTTGCTAGATAAAAAAAAATACCTTTTAAATTAGGTGTTAAAAATGTATAGGACTACATTACAAATTCCCATATTAAATTTCCATTATTAAAGGGATGTTTTTACAAATTTTCTGAAAAAGCATCCTATGAGAATAAGACCCGGATGAAAAACGAATGGAATAAATGAACAGATCCACAAGGATCCCTATGGAATCACATACAATCTAAGTCCTACTCAACAGGTACTAACAGTGAATTTCTGGTTACTTTTGTACTATTCTGAGGCAATCAATCTTCCTTCCTTCCTTCCTTCCTTTCTTCCTTCCTTCTTTCTTTCCTTCCTTCCTTTCTTTCTTTCTTTTTTGTATTTATTACTATCTTTTGCAATGACTGTAAGATACACCAATTTGGAAAGTGAAATATAAAAACAGTAGAATTTCTGTAAAATTCTCAGGCCTGCAAATATCAGAACTTTTATATAAATAATCACCACCCCTAAACTGTGTTTAAGAATGAATTATGCAAGTCCCAGCTGTGACATTAAGTGTAGAAAAGAAAGATCTCCACTTCTGGCATAACTTCAAATGCCTCAATGGAGACAGAAAAATGTCAAACATAAAAATTACACTGAAGCACTTATAGCTCCCATGGACAGGAAGAAAGGACAAATACTTTCTGAATAGTAAAATATTTAGCACACGTTACCTCTGATGCATTATACAAAGGAATGGCTTGTAGACACTCAGGACCAGAAGCTTTATGGATCTATATCACTCATTTCTATGATGACTAAGAGCTGTATTTTAAACCTATAAAGAGACTGGGGCCTCTCTCTCTATCTGATCCTGTTCCTCTCTTTGACCCCTATTACAACATTCCTGTTGCAGTATTCCAGAGCAACTCCCAGAGTTTCCAGAATGATATTCTTATTTGATAACAGTTGATCTTTTAAATTCTAGATAATAAAGGGTACCAGTAGTTCACAGAACATGTGTGAAGCTTTAAACTTATCTACTGATATAGAGGAAGTTACTCATGGAAGAAATACCTTTGATGCCAGTACACAGTTTGCCTCTGTTGAGATAGTTGTTCAAAATTTAAAAAACAATGTATAAAGCAGTGTTTTGAAAAATTTACAGTAGTAAAGAAATCTCCTTTGTAGTAACAATGGAAAAAGAGAAAATAGATTAGAATAAATAGAAGTGTCAACATATACAAATAAAATACTCTTCTAAAGCATAAATGCAGACTCAAAAGACATTCTTGCTTCTTGGTTATGATGCTTCAATATCATCAAAAGATGTCTGTTCTCATTAAGTCAGAATATAAATATTATGAAAACCAAGCTTTTTAAAAAACTAACCTTTTTTCTCCTGAAATTAGATCAATTGATTTTACTATATGTTAAACTTCATATTTAAAAAAAAACAATAATATCTAGAAAATAATGAAAAGGAAAAGCAACATGGGTAGAATAATTATACCAAATATATAAAGTCTCTATAACTAAAAGCACAAAGAGCCACACAGATAAATGAAACAGTACAGAAACCCAGAAAGAAAGTCAGCTATAGATGCAAATTATTCTAGCATGTGATAAAGTACATTTCAAAATGCTGGGGCAAAGACAGAATTTCTAACAAGTAGTGTTGGAGCAACAGGACAGCCACTGGAAAAAGAAATTTTGATCAATCAATTTTAAGTAAGTTTTCTATAACCTGAGAGAGATATTTTTGTAATTATGACTCAAAATCTAAACATATTAAAAAAATTAATGTATTTGACCATCTATAAAGATTGAAGAACAAAACACCACAAACAAAATCACAACACAAATAAATGAGAAAATACTTGCAAATATATCATAAAGAACTAACATCTCTAATTTGTAAATAACTCTAAAATTTTATGAAAGAGACCAAAATATTATAGAAAACATGCAAAATACATGAATAGACAATTCACATAAAATAAAAATTTACATTGAAACATGAAAATATGTTCAACTTTACTTAAAAGAAAAATTCATATTAAAATTATAACAAGTTACCTATAAAGGGATGAGATAGAAGGACAGGCTGGAAAGGACAGAGAAAAGAGTGATATTTTTCACTGTAACTATTTACATAGTTTTAAACTCGGAAGAATGTTACATGTTCTACATGTTCAAAAATACAATTAAATAAATACACATAGAAAAACAAACGTGAATAAATAACTCTAAATGAAACCTGACTAAATAATAGAACCAAACTGGAGACAGACTGGAAAGCAGCTTTGGGAAGAAATAATCCAAGTAACACTAAAATGCAATAATTTTCCAAGGATAAGGGTAAGACAGGCATAAGATAAGCTTTGTTGTGCCAGAAAGTAAGAAGGTCCCATCAAATAATGGTAGCATGGGAACCAGCTTAAATGAGTTCCCACTTGACAAATCTATGATATTGGAATACCAAAATTATACATATATCTCTCAGTCTAGAAAAAGTGCTAGTAAATCTTGATCTATCTTTAGCAGACTTTTCTGCTAAAAAATGGAATGAATTCAGCAATTTTGAAATGATCTTTTCTTTTAATTTATGTCCTGTACAACTAGGGAAATAAAGTAAATGTGTTGCACTGCCAAGAGCCAGGCCTTTCACTATGGAAAAAACTGACTCACAAATAAGCATTAATAAAGGTAAGGATGAACCTTGAGACGTCAGATTAGAAAGGCAGTCATAATTTTACATATGTTCTAATAAAGATATGCTTTTATGTGCACATGTTCATATATTATACGTATTTGTATATATACATACATATAAAACTTTCTTTCCCTAATGTCTCTTGAGCATCCTAGAATTTTTCAGTAATAATAACCATACCAAATTTCTAGATCTTGGTTGCTATATGAAACTCCCATTGAAAAGAACCAAGGGATCTTGAAAACAATAGCAGATTCTAGAAATGAGGCCAGAAAAGTGTAAGGTAAGCTTTATTGTATCAAAAACTAAGAAAGTGCTGCATCCTTAAGGCATGTCAAAAACATACCAAAACCAGTTTAAAGCAGTTCCCACTTACCAAACCTAACTAGACACCGAAATTAATAAAGTACAACTTACTAAATTATTCACACACACACACACACACACACAGATCCAGGGCTATTTCTACTTGTGATGAGTGGATAGAGGAGCACAGTTAAAAATCACCATGTCTGTAAGATCACTTGGGACAAAAACATTGGGAGAAAGTTTAATTAGAAGCAGGATATTTAAGAGAGAACAAAGCCATACCAGCAAGCAAGCCCAGTATGAGAACCAGCACCATGCATGGGCTGCAGGCAGACTGGGACAGACAGACCCCACTCCCTTCCAGTGCACGGGCTGGCAAACAAGAAGTACCAAACACACACACACACACACACACACACACACACACACACACACCCTGCCATATGCATGTCAGGAGAAACACAGGCTGTGATGATAGCTTTGGAGATGAAATGTAATTGGATGCCTGTGGTGCTTTTTGGTGTTTCTTGCAGGTCTAGGGCCAGTGATCTAATCATAGGTTCAGAGGATAGCAGTATGCAGTGTGACATCTAGAGGGGATCGCCTTCTGAGGGTTACAGCCATTGTTGATTCCCTATGGTCTTGTTTTGGAAGTCCTATATCATCTCCATTGTTTTGTTGGGCTAGGTTTTATTCTCTTTTGTTTTGTTTCATTATGTTAAATCCAATGGCAGGAGCAGCTATTTCAAAGATAGCAAGATATTATGGTAGTAATTTTGGATTTACTATAGGCTTCTTTTGAAGTCCTTTACTGCATTCATTGTTTTGTTTTTATTGTTTCTATTCTATTTTGTTCTTTTTGATTTTTACTATGTCCACAGTTATCTGTGGCTATTTTGAAGACATCAAAAGGCATTATGATAACTGTTGCTGATTTTGTAATGTTTTGAAGTCCTGTATCTTTTACATGGTTTGTTTTGATTGGTTTTATTTGTTTTATCCTCTTTAAAATAAAAAATAATTAAAAAGAAGCAGGATATTTATATGGTATCAAAAGAAATGACAAGGACCTGGCTGTTAGTTACAGGAAGAACACAGTAACAATCTGACAAGTAGAAAACAGACCTCAGCCAGATGATCAAAATAAACATAAAAGAGAAGGGGAATAAATATCAAATGTCTCTGGATACAAAGCCTGCAATCTCACTTGCATCGTCTTCAAGGTGGGCTGAGGATGAATGTAGACTAATAAATGTATGACAACAGGAGCCAAGCTTTTTCTACTGTCAGTGTGAATTATATAGACACACAAGGAGATGAGTCTAGGATCCCTTTATTCCCCTCTACACTGAATGATTCATGTGTAATAAGTAGTATTGAAGCCACTGGTATACTGTTTAGCTTAATCTGAAGACAAATGGTTTTACAATAAAATCTATAATATAAGCATTGGTATGGATCTGTATAAATATATACATCTTGATACTCTGTCAGCTAAGAGGACATAAAGAGCAATGATATTCCAACAGCAACAAACATGGGTCTTGATTCCCCAACCCCTCTAGTAATAGCACTTTAAATAGCTGATTTTAGCACAGGGGTAGGAAATACACAAAATGAGTCTGTCTCAATTTGTAATGCAAGGAAGGAAGCAGTGAGAGTGAAAGAAGCTGCATGAAGGGCACCAATGGCCAAAACTAGAGTATTCTGAGAAACAAAAGAAATGAAACATTTATAACCAAAATATAAACTAAATATCCACTAGCCCATACTGAAATAAATAAGAGAAAAATCTCTTTGGGCAGAAAAATGCCTAGTAATTTATGTAGATATTTTGCTCTCAACATAGTGGAGCAAAACTCCCACTCATTGAGTGTGGGCTAGGCACAGTAACTTCCTTCCAAAGAGTACAGCATAGCAAAGAGAGACATTAACAGCACAACGAAGAGAGTACAGTGGAAAAACCTGAACAACGTAACTTCAGGCAGATTGTAAAGGTCAACAACACATTGACCCCATATATCTTATACAATACAATTAAAATGGCAGGTTTCCTTTGTGATTTTCTTAATTCATGCCAGTCTAATTATGAGAAAAACATAAAACGAATCTCCACTACAAGATATCCTATAAAACACCTGAGCAGTACTTCTCAAGAGTTTCAAGGCCACCAAAATCAAGAAAAATGTAAGGAACTGTCACAGCCAGGAGAAGCCTGGGAATACATGATAACTAAATATAATATAGTCCTAGAACACAAAAAGATATTTGGTAAATATTAAGGAAATTTAGCTAATAATAATGAATCTGTATCTGTTTGATACTTGGAACCAATGTGCCATACTAATACGTGTTTAATTAATAATAACTAGTACATATACTAATAATAGTGAAAACTGGACCAAGGATGTATGAGAACTTTGTGCTAGTTTTGCAATTTTTCTGTAAATCTAAAGCCATTCTAAAAATAAAGTTTATTTAAAACAAAAACAAAATCCATGCCAATTGAACAGCTTGTGCTATTCATTGCTTAAGACAGAATCACATGACAGAGACCACCTGCCATGTCCCGAGAGTTCTAGTCTCTGTAGCTCATGGGATCATCCAGCACAATATAATTAGAGATTTGGTGGTAAACAAGAAACAAGGTAGGATAGTAACAACAAGATATACTCTTTTTTTTTTTTTTGTCTTTTTCGTTTTTATCGGTACCAGGGATTGAACTCACAACTGCACACTTGCAAGGCAGGAGCTTATGCCACTGAGCTAATTCCCCAGCCCCAAAATATACTCTTATAGAACTTTATGGTGCATATAACTTTAGTTCTTTTAATATCATAACTGAATTATTTTGGGTTCCATTTATCTCTGAAGTTTTCACTTTCAAGCACATTTTTATGCTAAATATAAAAGCAAAAGTTAGAACAAACTGTGGACTATTCTTGGTAGAAAGCTATTCAGCATTGTACATTCCTGGGCATAAAATTGAGAAGAGAAGAGAAATTAATTAAGTAAGTAAAACTTTGTATTTCTTTATCAAAACTACAGTGACATTGTTAATTACACTGTTTAAAATTTTTCATATTTTAATGTATTAATTTAGGTTTCTGGTTATGCTATTTGAAATTTTTACTACATTTCAAAACTGCTTGTGTTTCATAGATGATCATACTGAAATAGTAGTTTTTTATGAAGGATAAGAAAAAACTCCATCATCTTCTTGTTGGGTGCATTAGGAAATCACTGTGTGGTTAGCACCATGGTGAGTACTTTGGGAGAAGCAAAAGAAGAATAGTGAATGAGACACTCATTGTCAAGGAAAATAGACTACAAAGAGGACTAAAGGTTTAGCGTGAGATGAGCATGCTTAAACATCTACAACAAATGCAGGTCCCTTAGGACTCATCAATAGAAGCTAATAAAGCTGCATAGACCAGCAAATATTGAAATGGGCCTAGAACTGTAATGTCAGTAGAAAGGATGGAAGAGTGTTTTACAGAACAACTTTAGAGTCCATGTCCTGAGTCACTCTGCCATGCTGCCCTAAAATAAATGTTACTCAGAAAGTTCTTGATGAGTAAATGATGGATGAAGAAATAAAAAAGAAAAGAGAAAGTAGAGTAGGAGGTGAGGTTGGGGGTGGTAAGAAAGAAATTGGGGTCAACTAAAACCTCTAAGACACTTAGCCAAGCCTAAAACATTTGATAATACAAAATAATTAAGAAATTAAACATTAACAATAAATTAATTCAAATGGAAGCACTTTGACTTTGATTTTCATGTTACCTCTGTATAAATGCAAAACTGGGGTTTGCTGCACCGCTGGCATGGCTCTAAGGTGAGCAAAGAATGGTAGAAGAGTTAAGACTTCTACCATGAAAAACACTATAAACTCCATCTTAGTCAAGACAGAGTCCTAAAAATCTGTGCCTTTTCTTTACTGGAGGGACATACTGTCCTCCTCAGACCATTTTCCTGACGGAGTATAATACGAGAGGTAAGAACACGAGTCTAGAAATCAGACTCAGGTTTGAATTCCTATTATGCCACTCAGTGACCAACCTGTTATCGCTCCTAGTCTTAGTATTTTCCCTAAAAAAACATGGGACTCCTGGAAGAGAACCTGATCAATCTTCAACCCCTGTTTCTCTAATCTACCCACTTCTTTCAGCTATCACTGCCTAAAACAAGTCACCACCATCTCTAACTGTACCAAAACATTAGCCTCCCCACTGGCCCATTATTATTTACTGTCCACCCCTCTTCTACTGCCTCTTGCCCACACTAGCCATGGGATCCTGGAGAAAACACAAATTTGACTATGTGCATTTTCCCATTTAAACCTCCACATCAGCTCCCATTGAGCTCTCATGGCCTTTAGGATACATTTCCCAATTTTTTTTTTTTTTTTAATACCAGGGATAGAACTCATGACCTTGCACTTGCCAGGCAGGGGCTTATGCCACTGAGCTAAATTCCCAAAACATTCCCCAATCATAACCTAGCTCCAGGCCTGCAGTACTCTCTTCTATCCCGTCACCTTATTCATATTTGTTCTTTCATTTACTATACTATATTACTTCTCACCCCAATTTCTTTGTTTTTTGCTTCTGAATTCACCTCAAACTCTGCCTCCTAAAGAAAGTAACCTTGAGCTGAGGACAAGCCTGGCAGATCTTGGTGCTGGTTCCCAAATATTTCTGATTTTCCTGCATCCAATCGGGAAGGTAGGATTATACTTCTACTAGCCCTCTAAATTAGGAGTGACCTACATCTTACTCTGGTCAATGAGAAGAAGCTATTGTGTGACATGTTGACAGAGATTTAATCATCACTTATGTTTACTTTGCTCTTTTCCTCTTTTGGGAATAGCTGTGTGCTTGCTAGTGGCAGCTCTGTCAGCCAGTTTCCTGGAGTGAGGAGGTCAAAAATAACAATGGAGTACAGAGCTCTCAGTCCACTTCTGATGGACATGTAGCATAAGCAAGAAACAAATTTTTATTGTTTCAAGCCACTGAATTTTTGAGGACCGTTATTTCAAAATAATCTATCCTGTCCTGATTGGTAAACTTAGCTAGAAAGCTCTTCCTCACTAACAGGCTCCTCTGGGATACTTTTCACAACTGCACTCACATCAGTGAATCATTTTGTTTAATGAATTTCCTTATTGTGAAATGTAGCCTTCTAGGTTTAGAGCCTTAGCACAGTACATGACATAATTCTCAATAAAACATGAACAAATTAACACTTATTCATTGGATTAGGTGTACAAAGGGATACTACGTATAATGTACCTAGCTTAGAACTAAGATATAGTAAATGTTTAATAATAATGATGCATTATCTTTTCTTTATTTTGTTATTATTATTCTACAATCACAATTAATTAGAGGTACTTAATGTAGGAATTTAAGAGGTAGACTCTGAAGCCAGATTTTCTGCAAATCTGACCTATTTCCAACACTTGCGTGACCTTAGTCCAACCACTTCAACTTCAAGTCCTTCAATTTCCTCATCCTTAAAGTATGAATCAATAATTATATATACTTAAGCATGCTGTTATAAGAATTAAGTGAATTACCTTCTAAAATACACAATATAGTTTCTGTTTGTAAGCAAATCATGTTAAATGCCTATGTTCAACTCCTTGAAGCACCTAGAAGACTATTATTTGAAAAAGAAATCAAACACAAGATATAAACAAAACACTAAAAGATGTTAAAAACAACTCAAAACAAGTCAGGAGACAGAAAACAGAATAATGAAACATAGAACTAGAAAACAAGTAATAAAATAGTTGACCTAAATCCAAACATTTCAGCTATTACAACAAATTTAAATAGTATATGCATGGAAAGTTAAAAGGCAGAAACTGTGGGCTGCGATAAGAAAAAATATAAGAAATTAGGTCAATAGACAAATTGGAGCACAGGAAGAAAGAGGCATTGAAGTTTCCACACAACAGCAGTGACACAAAACTTGCTTTCATCATGATTCTAGAGAGAAGCATGAGTAAGGGTTCATCAGAGGTAGGCAGCAGTGACAGAAGGGATGACTTGTCCTCTCATTGGTGATATTTTCTCTAAAACTGATCTTGCGGAAATCCTAGGGATAATATGGAAAGAATTTAAAGGAAGCAAAGGCAGTCATGTTACTACATTCATATTTTAAATTATTATTGACAAATGGCTGTGGGTTGACAGTTTCCACTTTGAGCATGCAAAATTAAAGTTTTTTCTCTGGCATATATGTATAGTATGGCAATAAAGAAGACAATACAATTCTCTTGAAAGATTTGTAAAGCTAATGAACGACCGATTAAAAGGTTTAACAATGGAATTTTGGCTCCAGAATAAAATAAAATGCTGCAAATATTTCTCATTATTTCTTATGATACAAGAATATATTCCATTTTAATCTGCCTAACACTTATCTATTGCCTTTCTGATGGTTCTATTTCTTTTGGAGGCCTACCTTTTTCTTGCTTTGTCTATGAGTGCTGAATGGGGTGATTTCCTCTCTGGCTCAGGATAAAGAAGCAATAATGGCTTGGCCATTCAGAATACTTCATTTCTAGGCCACAGGGTTGGGTTTAAAGATGGAAACATCATTTACTCATAGTTTTTCAGAGTTAGCAGGAGTCTTATTTGAGCACCCAGGACAGATATGCCTTTTATTTTCACATGTGACAATATATATTCCTTAAGATAGGCTAGCTTATGTCATAAGAAATGCACAAAGCTCAGTGACTTACAACAGAAGCTCTCTCTCGCATTACATGTTCACCAGGAATCAGAAGGGGAGTTTTAAAAGCTCCTAAAGGCTCCTGCCCAGGAATGACACAAGCCTCTCTGTTCATATCTTATTGGTAAAAGCAAATCATACTGCTATACCTTACTTCAAAAGGCAAAGAAGCACAATCTACCAGATGGAGGATTCTAGAAGTACTTGGTAAACAACTGTTACAGTTTGTGTCTAGATGCCACCCCAAAGCTTCATGCAGTTTTAGGATGTTTTGGAAGTAGTTCAATCTGGAGGGGTGATGCTGGAATTAAGGGTGTGTGACTGCTAAATCAGTCTACTGATTGCTTTGGCATTACCCCAATCCCAGCAGTTTAGATACAATATATAAGGGACAGAAACAGTCTCGTCTCTCCCTGCTTATTGCTTTGCTAATTTCTGCCCACCATGACTGTTATCCTATCTTGGAGCCAACAGAAATGGACTGAAAACTCTGCAAACTATGAGCTAAATAAACTTTTCCATCCCTAACTTTAGATGTCAGGCACTTTGTCTCAGCAATGAAAAGGAAACTAAGGTAACAACTAATAAATACATGTGATATATAATAGGATATATTATATGGCAAAAGAATACTGACAGAGGTAAAAATTGTGTAGTCCTGGTAATTCTCTTAGAGTTTCTAAATTCATCTGTAACCGGAGTTATATATTTTCTAATGCAAATAGCTCAGTATTGTGGGATTTTCCAGAACATGAACAAGGCAAAAGGATTTTAACACATCACTGAAGCACCAAGAGATTTTTAAGCAACCACAGGACCTCTGGATGCCACCACTTTGTCATAGATGTCCTGAAATTCAACATAAGATAAAAGCTGAAGAACCAATTGAAGAAAGAAAACTATAGGTGCAAATGCACCTACACAAAATGTCTAAACCTTTCCAGTTAACATAATTTGATCACAAAAAGAGATAACTGAAGTATTTCTATCATGAAAAAAATGTTTAAAATGCTTTGAGTCCATAAAATATCATGTAGAATAAGTAGACTATTCCTCTGGGCTCAGTCGAGCAAGGCATAGTAGCATGGCACTGGCCAGCTAGCTGCTGCTGGAAGCAGACTAGGCAGAGCACAGCTTCAGCCAGCCCTGTAAGCAAGAAAAAAAGAGGTAAGGAATTGCTGAGCTCACAGGCAGAAAGAGCTGGATACACTAAATTTTGACTCCCACACCTCCCTTTTCTACTTCCTAACCCCTACATTACATTTCCTCTTAGTCTACAAGTTGCTCACATCTTTCAAAGAAAAGCTTTTATTTTGGTGGTATCCATATTGAAAAAAGTATCCATACTGAAAGAAGTACTTGGGTAGAGACCTAAAAAAGAGTCATTATCTAGAAAAAAAAAGGCCTAATACAAATATTCTGTTTCCAAAAATGTTGTCCCTGAAATTAAAATTGATGTAAGGGCATGAATGAGAGAGAGAGAGAGAGAGAGAGAGAGAGAGAGAGAGAGAGAGAGAGAGACAGACAGACCAACTTAAAATCTTGCAGTTTGATGGCTAACAAAAGTCAAGCCCCCTTGAAGTTAGTTTGCAAACACTGGTAAGGACTGCCAGTGTTTGGAATAGGCTTGGCATACCCTTTAAGTATGCTCTCATTTCACAACCCTCCAAACACTGAAAGGATTCTCATCCCCTTTCAGTAACACAAATGAAACCCAGAACCCACTGCCAATCAGTAGTGATGTCACATGACATTTCCATGGCTGGCCTCTAACTACAAGAAGCTCATACAAAAATTAAGAGTATTGCTTTCCTTCAGTAAGTAGGGTAAAACTAGGGTTTCCAAAGGGGAATAACAACAGGAAGACAATCGCCTCCCCCCAAACATCGTCATGTGCTTACCACAATTCAGAGAGCAATGAGTCTTTTGAACATCTACCTAGAAGATTCTTGCTTTGTCAAATCAAGTTGACTATAGGTTGGGTGGCAGTCCAATATTTTTTTTTAGTTTGGTGACCAATGGACTTTTAATTCTCAAAGTAATAAATGCATTTAAGAGAAAGAAAACAAGCATGCCATAAATGTATACAATTATATCTGTCAATAATACCTTAATAAAGCTGGAAAAAAGGGGAAAAAAAACTAAGTCACCAGGAAATTTCTTAGTGGCTACATTTCTATAATAGAAGGTAACATTTCTTTAATTGAAGGTAAACATCATTGCTGTGATCACTACCCCAACCAAGACAGTTGTTGTTATTTGCTGAAGACCCATGATCTGTCAGGCATAGTTCTAACAAAGCTATGACATAGGTACCATTACGAAACTCATTTTGCAGAAGAGAAAATTAATACACAAAATGTGACATAACTTGCTCAAAGTCAGATGATCTATGAAGCCTTAGTCTTAAACAACAGGAATAAGAGCATTTAGTAATGCCTGGTAGGGCAGGGCCTGGATTTTATTAACAAAACAAGGAATTTTGGTTAACATAAAAGTTCTCTGGGAGCCAGAAACATTGCAGTCTCAGTGTTTCAAAGCTCACAGTGGGACAAAGAGACACTATCATGCTGGAGAGATTGTTAGAGCCAGCTGAACCGAGCAGAAGATTTGTTTGGACATAAAAAGAAAGAAAATTTATTGAAATTTTATAAGGTCACTAAAGTTTAATGTCCCCCAAAAGGCTCTTGCATAAAATGGCCAAGGTATCCTATCACAAAATGAGAATAAAATACCATCTTTCATGGAAATGGACGCTTGCTAGTTGTCATCCAAACTGTGCATGTATTAAGGAGTATCATTAATATCCCCAAAGGGCCTCATCATGTCTCTTTTTCCAGCTCAAAAAAAAAGGCAGGGCATGGTGGCAAATGCCTACAATCCCAGCACTCAGGAAGCTGAAGCAGAAGGATCACTGTGAGTTCAAGGCCAGCCTGCGCTACAAAGTGAGTTAAAGGCCAGCCTGAACTGCATAAAGAGACCCTGCCTCAAAACGACAAAAAACAAAACAAAGTTCTTGGGAACTCAAGAGTTTTAGGCATCAATTCACTCCTTTAACAGCTTTGCCAAGTGGCTCCTCTGTGCCATGTCCTGTGCTTGGTGCACTTCCAGGTCTCCAGTGACACGCATGACTGTGGATCTCGAGTTCCTGTTTAGAAAAAGTAATAGAATGATACACAAACCATTACCAAACTGACCAGAAATACTACTTGTTATAGTGCTCCATCCCACCAACAGGGAGGTAGAGAGAAAACACTGTAGTGATGATAAATCAGAGACCACAAAACACACCTTGTCTAGGGCCAACTGATAATACCAGAAAATAAATTGAGGGACAGATTCTAGGGCAGGCTGGGGAGCACAGGCCCCTTCCAAGAATCAGCTTCTGCTCAGCTCCAACCATTCCTGTCTTTCCTTATATTTTTTCAAAGAGAAATCAAAATCAATAAATCAATTTTGCTATTCAGATGAAGTTTCTCCAATGTTCAAGTTTGGTTTCCAGTTAAACTTATCACAAACACTGAGTAAGCCATACAAAAAAGTGAAGGCTTAGTCCAGTTTATAAGCGAGGTTACTTCTCAGGTGCAGGAGGAAAGAGTTGATGGAATTAGGAGAATATTATTGGAGATGATTCTTTCAGGTCCTTTGCAAGTCCACCAAAGCAGTGATATCTTGCACAAACAAGGTATGGAGAGAAGCTGTAGCCTGCGATATTGACTCTCATGATGGAGGAAGCAACATTTCAGCCAGCCTGCTTGTGTGCTGTCTTCACGATATAAACAGCTAATTGGTTGGAGCTGCTTGCCAGTGTGTGTGTGTGTGTGTGCACACACGCGCGCATGCAAGGCAGATGTTAATCAGGAATACTAGTCTAAGCACCTGCCAGGATCACTAATTTTTCTTAAATCTTCATTTCTATATCAAGTCCTTGATCCCCATATTCCAGCTGCCAGCATCTCATCACATTACCCAGGTAAACTTGATTCTAATCTGCTGGCATCACCTAAGAAACACCTTCCCAAGATTCACTTATTTTGATGTAAAATAAAAAGATCCAAAGGAAAAAAAGGCTTCTGACCTCTTAATTCTGAAGAGTTCCAGCTTGTGCATCATGAAAAGGAAAGAAGAGTCCCAGCACAAACCCTGACCTGGCAGGAACCTCAAGCAATGAACTGAACAGCTGTGTCACAATCAACAAAAGCGAAACACACAGAATAAATAGGTGGGAGGGAAACATCAGAGCCTCTCAACCCAGAATTAGTAGAAACATAGTACACAAGTGAACAACCCTGGCTCTGGCCCTGGATGGGCCTTTTTGAATTGTGGCTCCTTCGGCTGACAATGTTATATAAGTGAATGGCCTTCTCTGAGCCTTATATTTCTCTTCTGTAAAACCGTGTAATAACACCTACTTCAAAGGACTGCAGTGAAGACTTAGAAGTGTGAAATCGGCAAGGCATTTTATAGGGACTCAATAAATGGTAGCACTTATTTTTAATATCATTATAGTAAACTTGTGGCTTATTCATTCAAGGAAAGTAAGACTTATTTCTGAACTGTGAGATTATATGAAATATTCCCATAATTCATGTTCAACATTTCTTTCTACTTCTGCTAAACTGTTACAAGACTACTTTGTTGACCATTTTCTAATTTTTCATTACAGATTAATTTTTCATTACAGATTACAGATTAATTTTCAATGCAGAATAGCACGTTAGATATTTAATTTAGATAGCAGTTTTTCATTTCATTTTCCCCATCTATGTTTCAAGTTGTGTTCTCTATCCCATTCCCTCTCTATTCAATCCTAGTAAAACATGAAGAGTCATCTTCTGCACAAATTGAAGGCAAAATTCACAAATACTTGATCACTAAGTACTCTATGCAAAAGACTAAAGATTAGATCATATATATGCACAGCTATCTTTCTCACTCCCAGATTGACTTGAAAAGTCGTTTTGACTTGCCCAAGGAAGTGGAAAGAAGGAAATGCACAGACAGGTGAAAGCTCTGCACAGTTCGTATTGCCCAGTGCTGGTCAGAGCTGAGCAGCAGCCGCACCAGTTAGAAAACTGATTGCAGGGATGGATTAAAATTATGCAAATCCTCAAGAGAACAAAGAGTTCCTACTAATATCATATTACAATATGTTTAATGTAATAATGACCTTATATAAAAATAAGTTTACATGTTTAAACCCTAAGTCTCATTGTCTCTCACTAGCACTTGGCAATTTTCCCATTCGCCACAGACAACAAAGTCATTGGATGTATGAGAAAAGTAGCAAGTGCTCAGATAAGCCAGTCAAATCCCTGGGGTTGGAAAGCTGAGCTCAGAAGTTTGGACACATGCTCACATTTCTATTAATGGGCATAACATGCCCCAATAACAGGGCCCCAAGTTATATATAAGGAGAGAGAAAAGACAAAAGAACAGCCCATTCTAAAGGCTAGCTAAGTTAGGTTCTACCACACTGGTTTGTAGGTACTAATGTACTCATAGACCTGACTTTATAATAGGTATCTTCAAGTCTCCTCACTCAGTGGGATAAATAACCTGCCCACCCAGCTACAGAGCATGAGCTACGCAGAGGAGCTGTACCTGCTCCCATCCCACAAAACTCTATGAGTGTCATTCACCGTTGTATCTCAAGCACCAATTTACAGGATTCAAAGGACTTCCTTCCCAGGAAGTGTGTGACTTCCTTCCATGGAAGTGTTTTGGCCTGTTTCATCCCACTTTGATCAGGTTAGAGAATAATTTCCAGAAGTCTTGGAAGGTGAAAAGATGGGAGTTAAAAATGTTTGGTATAACATATGTTGGCTAGAGTGCTCATTAGCTGACCAGGGAAACAAGATTAGGGGACAAAAAGGAAGAAGAGAAAAACAATAAAGAATAAAAATAGGACAATGGGGGGAAGGGCAACTAATTTAATCAAAACCTCCAGAAATTAAAAACCTGGTTACACAAAACATTCAAACACAAAATAGCAACTCTATCAATAGCTGGTAGTATTTTTTTCACAGCATGAAATATTTTCCTAACTGTATTTTAAACTCTGGGATTTTGAAGCTTCATTTATAGATAATGGCTTCCTTTCATATTCCATTTTACTCTTCAGTCTTTCTAGTCTCTAGTGAACTACACATTTGCCCTGCTGTGGAATGTCAGAGGAAATCCTAAACTGAATCAGAGCTTCCTTCTTATTCTCTTTTTTGTTCAGTTAATAATTTAAGCACCTATTAAGTGCCTCCAAACTAGCTTAGTGCTTAAGATTCAACAGTGACCAAAACTCATAGAGTTTTATGGTGTGGGAGGAAAGACAGATGTTAATCAGATATCATAAACTCCATTTGTTCTGAAACAAATTTGAGTGAGATGGAGGGGCACTCAGCTAGTCTGGAGGGTCACAGAAGGCTGACCTCAGAAACGGCAATTTGGATTAAGGTCCAAAGCGCTGGCTGGGGAGTCTATTGGAAGGAACTCCTTGTACGAAGACCTCAAATCTGGAAAGAGGGTAATAGATTTAAGGAACTGAAAGCTCTGTGGCTGGAACAAAAGCAGTGAAAGAAGAAAATGTCTTGAGAGAGAAAAGGTAATCATAGAAACCTGACATTCTCCTGCTCTCGGAGGACCTGCGGAGAGGGGTGTGCTCTCGGGTCCAGGCACAGAGGCTGGGTGGGTGTAGTACACTGCTTGGTAAGCTGTTTCTGGCCCTTTCCTACCCTGGAGAGTAATGACCCAGATGTTTCAAAAAAGCATGATCGTGTGCATTTTTACTATTCTATTATTTTAGGCAAAATACTAATTGTTTTTCACTGCCAAACTAAAAAACAAGGGCCATGTCTTGAAAACTAAGCCAATCCAAAAACCAATATATGAGGCCGAGGATATGGCTTAGTGCTACAGTACTTAACACTTGCCTAACATACATAAGGCACTGGGTTTAATTGCCTGCACTGCCAGGAAAAAAATTTAACAATTCAATACAAATATACAGTCTTAGAAGTTTTTTTTTTTTTCACATGTGGAGTCTAAGTTTAAAATAAATTTAGCCATGATTTGCCTCAAGAATTGAAACTGAAAAATAACAATGAGAAGTTAATTAAGGATCTGATATTTTTCTTAATACATTATATCTCCTACCCAAAAACTTCCAACATAAATACTCTAGTGGATATTATTCTGGCCTAAACCCTGAGTATGACTGCTTTGATACATAACAGCTTCAACACCTCCATCCTAATATCTGGCACGCTGCTGCTCTGAAATACTGTATTCACCCTAAAGTCAAAAGCCATTAAAAATGTTCATTTTTAAACTAAAAGGATTGTACTCATCTCAGATGATGTCATTTTGTCTGGACTCCTATGTTCCCATGGAGAACAACTTGAAATAATCAAAAAATAGTGTGCAAATTTCCAAAGTGTCTGGGTATAAGGTACAGTGCAGGTTTTTAAACATTTCTCAGAAAGGTGTGATCAGGAGCAGAGGAGGGGTAAAGGAGAATGGTAAGCAAGCGAGTAAAGTTTAAAAGTCACAGTAAAGATGTGTTTACATACTAAACTGGTGCCTTGACATCAGTTTCTGAGAACAAAATTTTATAGCACTTTACATTTTATAATATAAAAAACATGTGCTCCTTATACCTGAAAGAGATAGCCCAATGCTGTAAGCAATGTTTACTTGGTGCCCTGTTTCTATACTTTACAGTATAGAAGGGATCCAAATACTTTTTAACTATGAAGAAACTTTTTTAGGCAAAGACTGAATTCTTTGCAATGTGGTAAATTGTACTGAAAAGATTTAACTCTTCTTTCTTAATTGCCACAACACAAATAAGGAAATAAAAAGTCCAGTCATTTTAGAGTATACTTTAAAACCACAGCTTCTAAAATTGAAGCTCTAAACCATTTTGGAAAATGTAAATTGTTAATGAACACTGCACCATATCAGTTTCCTGTTCCAGTTGGCTCTCTGTCAGGTTGGCAACAACTCAAGAGCCTGACGAAGAGGTGCAGGCATATGTTTTCTGTTTAAAAGAAATGAAAGAAAAAAAGAAAAAGAAGAGGGCGTCATTTTATAAACACTTCAGTGAAAATTACCATTCCGTTTGGGACCAATTCAGTCCAGGTGCTAAGGACA